TTTTTTTTTTTTTGTGGTACTGGGGATTGAACTCAGGACCTTGCACTTGCCAGGCAAGCGCTTACTCTACTGAGCTATCTCCCTGGCCCCACTATGTGCTTTTAAGCAGGGTTAGAGTCTCAGGCTGCAGATAGAGACCTTGTTTCCAAAGACAGAAGATATAGCCTTCCCACGGGGGTGGGAAAGAACAGGGCCAACCCCAGAGAATCAAGAGGGAATCCATGGCCGCCCCTTGGCTGTCGGTTGTCCAGGGCAGTGTGTAGCACAGAAGTGAAGTCAAGGCAGGGACGAAGAGCCTGAAATGGATTCTAGGCATAGAGGACACTGTGTCCTTTTAAACGCAGCAGCCCAGAGTGCCCTTAGAACCCCTGCCCTGCACTTAGGACCTTGGCTAACTGACTGCAGGGAGACAGCCCTTAGCCAGGTGTTTTCTGTCTTCCAATCTGACCTGTGCCTTTTGCTTCCTCGGCGGTAGGTCCTGTGCAGATATCAGCACATCTGGAACGTCAAGCTGCAGTTGCGGCCCTCCTATATTGCAGGAATCATGAGAGACAGTGGTAGGCAGGGGGACACGTCTGGGGCAGGGCTGGGGTGAACCTCATCCAGGGGCCGGAGGGAGCTGTCCACTGCTGGCCTTTATATTGGCACCTGCAGCTGAGACCATCATTTGCTTTCTGCCTGAGACCACGGGAGGGATTCTCCAAGCTTCTTACCAGGCTGAGGTCTTCTTACCAGGCTGTCCAATTCTCCACTGCCAGGAAACAAGCCGCCATCCTTGCTCCCTCGCAAAGCCCAGTACATGATAAAGGACCTTATACGCCTGAAGCAGCATTTCCAGGTCCCCCTCAGATACCCCAAGGACTTCAACGCTACGATTCTGCAAAAAGGTGAAGAGGGCAGGAGAGAGTGGGCTACAGGTCTCGGGAGACCACCTTGGTGCAGCCTGCCAGGAAATTTCAGGAGCAGAGCTGAACCAGCTCAAGGCTTCGGGTCAGTGAAAAGGGGCCAAACAGGCCACGTCAGTTATGGAAAGCAGGTGAAAGGCAGCAGACAGCACAGCCCAGAGCAGGGAGGAGGTGCGCTGCACCTGGACACAAAGACAATGCTCCACCTCTGAGTGTGTCTGCCCTGCAGGAAGTCTGTCCGCCATGCGGTTCCTCACTGCTGTCAACATGGAGCACCCGGAGAGACTGGAACAGGTGTCCAGGGAGCTGTGGATGCGCATCTGGTCTCGGGTGAGGGCTGGGCCCTGGGCATCCATGGAGGGAGACCCTGGATGGCTTTCTGACCTTCCCCAGGCCCATTTCCAGAGTAGCAGTCCTGCTGTGCCTTACTGACGTCATTACCCTCTTCCTCCTACTGCCTGTCCTCTTTTCCCAGGATGAAGACATTGTGGAGCCACAGAGCATCTTGGCCGTGAGTGACCTGGCCACACTCAGTGCTGGGGGGGGGGGGTAGAGAACAGTGGTTCTCATACTGTGGGAAAGAGCCTATGGTGATTTGTGGGGAAAAAAATGTGGCAGAGGGGACCAATGACTGAAAAGTCGCCATTACAAGGATACTCAAAACAGTGTTAGCCAGTTGGAATGTAGCTCAGAGGTGGACTGTGTGCGCAGGGTGCGCAAAGACCTGGGTTTAGTCCTAGCACTGGAAAAAGTTAAGCCTCTTTGTCAGAAGAGGAAATGCCAAATGGGTAACACGTGGATAAAATGCAGTCGGTGAAAGAAGTCTCTGGGAGAGAGATGGTCACAGCCAGAACCCCAGGTGGAGAAGGATGGCAGGTTCACAAGTCTCCTAAGTCTGTGACACAAACATCACCAAGAAACAAACGTGTGTTAGAAGACAAGAGATATTTACAAGAGGCTTTTGAAGAGATTTAAAAAAAGCTAAGTGGCAAGTGTTGGAGTCAGAGCAGATGTAAAATGCCCTCAAAGCACCTGGTACAGATGGAGTTGAAAGGTATGGCTTTTTGAGGGACTAAATGGAAACTCAGGGTGTACTACCCATACAGCTTGTAGATGACAGCTGAGGCATGTTCGTAGTAAACATGTGAAATGCCACGCCACACTGACGCTCAGTGTGCAGAGCCTGTCCACCTCATCTAGTTTAGTGTCTTTGTTCTGGCAAATAAAATTTTTAGCCTGCTTTTTAATGTAATACTTAAAAACCTGCTTCCATGCCACTTTTGACTTTCAGAAAGTCCGCTTCCTCGTTCCTAAACAGCTTTCTACCCAGTGGCCTGATTGCTCTTGAGGTGTCCAGTGTCCTGTAGGTTTGTCTGAGACAAAATTCTCGCCTATAAGCTGTCAAGGCAATGGCTCATTACCGTGGGCGTTGAGGCCTGCCAGTGTAGGAGAGGTTGCAGGGATTCTCCACTAGGGCTGTCTGTCAGCATCACCCATCTTACCTGGTCCCAGCCTGGAGGCTGCAATGTCATCATTCACTAGGGATGGCCTCCACCTTAGGGCTTGCATAAAGCTCCCTAGGAGATTCCGACATGCACAAGGCTCGGGAGCCACTGGTCCCAAGCTTATAGCAACCATCCTTAAGCCAAAGCCTGTAGTATTCAATACAAGACAGGCCAAGGGCTAGGACCTTGACATTGTATCTGAGTCCTACAGAAATTCCATGGAAATTAGAACCGGGCCCTTTATTTGAAAAATGAGGTATTTAGGAATTCTGAGAAGTGAGAAAGTACCCATCATAGATGTTGAGTTTAGAGACTTAGAGATTTGTACCTCTGAGCAAGGAGGGTGTCACTTCTGATGGGAGTCTTGCCATTTATGAAATGAAGAGGTGGGAAGAGGTGGTCACCAAGATACTCTCTGGTGGTCATTTCTTCCGGCTACAACTCTGCCAACTGCTCTTTCTTCTCATGTCAAGTTCAGGAGCAAAGAGTTTCCTAAGACAGACAGGGATAGACTGCTGCTTGAGGGTGAGGGAGAGCCACTACTGGGAGAGTTGGAAATAGCCAGAAAAAGAGCTGCGTTTTCTCCTGCTCTCCTGTCTGCACAGGGCAGACACAGTGGTGTCTCCTGCCATGTCTCCACAGGCAGCGCAGAAGGCTGGTTTATCTGCAGAGAAAGCCCAAGGCCTTCTAGAGAAGAGCTCCACAGAGCAAGTGAAGAATCAGCTCAAGGAGACCACAGAGGCAGCCTGCAAATATGAGGTGAGAACTCTCCCTGCGTTCTCAAGTCCTATCCCAAAGATAGAAAGCAGTCTCTATCCGAGGGGCTCCACACTCCAGCCAGAAGCTCCACCCCGTGCTTCCTTCCCAGGTCTCCAGGAAAGCCCTTTTTGTCTTCTTCCCTTCCTCCACCTGAGCCCAAGAAAGGCAGGCAAGAAAAGAGAGGGTCTGTGTCATAGCAGAGAAGGCACTTTGGTCCCTGTTTGCAAGCCCCTCTTCAGTGGCTAGACTACTGTGGCCCTTGACAATTGCTGCCTGAAAGTCCTCGATCCCGGCCTAATAGGCACCATGGCCTTCTTCCTGGTGCTCTGCTTTCCTTCAGGCCTTCGGGTTGCCCCTCACGGTGGCTCATGTGGACGGCCACACGCACGTGCTCTTTGGCTCTGACCGCATGGAACTGCTGGCGCACCTGCTGGGTGAGTTCTGGTTTCCATGCGAGCTACCTTGACCTTCAGCAAGCCTGAAGCCAAGCAGAGCTCTTCCTAGAAAACTCCCGGGTCCCATGGAGCTGCCTGTGCTGCCAGCACACCTGAGAGCAGTGTGCCGACCACTCTGATTTTCTTTTTCCAGGAGAGAAGTGGATGGGCCCCGCACCGCCAGCCCTGAGTGCCAGACTTTAAGACTGGAAGAAGCAAGCTGTGGGTATGAACAGGCAGGCCACCTGCTCCAGGATGCTTCATCTGTCTGTTTGATAGGGAGTATCTTCTTTGACCCCAGGGGCTGCCTCTTGGCTGTCTCCAGGAATGCCCAGTAAGGGATCTACCATTAAATTTGGTTGCCTTTATACCTAAGCTTCACAAATGCCTTATGGAGAAACCCAAATTCTTCTTTTCCATGTAATAAATCTAAGGCCATTTAGCCAAAACATTCGTGGGTCTGTTCTGTGCTGGTGGCATTGGTATACTCTCATTCCTGTAGTCATGTTATGCCTGTTCTTGAGATTTACATGGAGAAGAGTGCTTTCCAGATTCAGCTCCCAGGCCCTCAGCTCCCACTCAGGCCCTCAGAACCCCCAGGCCCACAGCCCCCAACCCAGGCCCTCAGCACCCAACCACCCAGGATCTCAGCGCCCCAGGCCCTCAGCCCCAAGCCCTCTGTGGGGCAGCTGTGCAGCATTCGTGGGAAACAGACCCCCTTTTCCTTCCTTGGAACCTGTTTGTCTACAGGACAGAAGACTGAGCTCTACACACTCGCTTACCTAAGTAGTTTGCCATATTTGATTCTGAGCAGCCCCAGTGATGGGATGTACAGTAGTATAGGCAG